AAAATTCTTATTGGATAGTAAGAAAACCAATAGATTATCTAAATATGAAAGTTTACTTTTAAATATTCAAAAAGAAGAAAGGTTCAATTAAGCAAAACTAACAACAAGAACATAAAAGAAATGTAATAGCAGAAAAAAAACATTATATGAACTAAAAGAGAAGCAAAAAAGAAGTAAAAGATGAAAGACTAGAAAGAAGAGGGGCTCATGGTGTTGGAACAACACTTGACGAGGCACAAGACTCACCAAGTTCAAGATAAGTTGATGTTGCACCACTTGAGTCCTAGACTCAAGATAAGACTAAGAGAATAAAACACTCTTAAGGGAGCTCTCATAAAGGTGATCAAGTATAAGTGTATAAGCTCAAAATACTCAACCCTTTACAAGTATAAGAATCCTCCTTTTATAGGTGATGAAAAAGGTCTCTTTGAAAAAGCACAAACCTAAGTACACTGAAGCAAATACAAGGAAAATGCTTCTAAAAACTAGATCATTTCAAAAAAAGACATCTTGGTGTAGGGTGTAACCCAGCTTGCCCACCAAGTCTCTCCCAGACACCTTTAACCTTTTAAAAAGGACGGTCAACTCAAAGCTCTCCATGCTCTATAAGGCACCACATGTGTGTGGATGCAAGTCAAAGTCTCTCTTCCTCTCCAAGTAGTGTTATCTTCCTCCAATATGCTCTTAGTCAATCTTATAAAATAAACATAAGACGTCAACAAGTCAACTCAAGTCAAGTCAACAAGTTAGCCTAAACACAAGTCAACATAAACAAATGCTAATAAAGAAAGAGAAGATGGATTAGATGCCCTCTTTCTTGTCATGCTCCTACTGATCATTTTAGGAAGATCCTCTATGCTCTCATGAGAAGTCATGGACTCATCACTTACTATCATTTATGTTATGTTTACTTTAAATGATTTACTATGGTTGTAGATGGAAAAGTTTAGTCTATTTCTATTTGTTTTCACAAGTTTTAGTTAATTTAGGAGCGTGAATTTAATGGAGAGAGTGGATGGAACATCTTTGCTGATGTAAGGAGATGGGGCGTGAAAGACAAATCACTTCTCATGTAATTATAAATTTGCATTCTTTTTTTTAACAAGACATTGTGCTTGAGTGGTATCTACAATGTGTATGGCAGAGTTGCATGATGAAGATTCTAGCAAAGATTCCTTCGCATGCATTACATGTACATTGAAGAAGATTATGTGCTATTTTTTACCGTGGAAGTAATTGAACCACATTAAAGACTTTGTTAATAGATTGGTTGGGTTGGTGTGTTTATGTTATAAAAGTTATGGTTTGTGTGGTTATTGGAAGGAAGGTGGTATGCCTCTCTATTATGAATTTACTAGTGTTTTTGGAATCATAAGTGGGGTGTGTTAGTGAGGTAAAAATGGAATTGATTATGCTTGCATAAGAATCAAATTTGGGCACAATTGTGTGGAAGTCATTATTGAGTAAAAAGAATCGATCATACCTACTGATACAACTGATTTTGGTGTCATGTAGAATGAATTCTAATTATTTCAAGGTTATAGAGATAACCAATTTTGGTTTCATGTTTGTAAAAAGAACTGAGTTTGCTATCTTGGAGAATCCATTATCCGCATGAGTTGTTGTTTGTAATAAAGTGAAAAAGGATAAAATTAAGGAAGAAAAAAAAGTGGAAAATGAGATTGTTTGGATTAAGGAAAAAAAAAAGTGAAATGTAAGAAGAAATAATAGAAAATTTAAAAATTTATGATTGAGGTGATAAAAAAAATGTCATGGATAAAGTTATAAAATTATAATTTTACTCTTATAGTCAAAATGAATTTAAAATAAAATATAGTTAGTTTAAGTTAAGTTAAAATTATATTTTTATTATTATTTATGATTTTATAATTATTACTATAATTATTTTATAAATTTATTTGATTATTATTAATTTTAATTTTATTATTGTTATTTCAAAATTTTATTATTCGAAAAAAAGGTCATATTAAATATTATTATGAATTTTAACATTTCTGCTATGCTGGTATTCCAAAATTTATCAATCATTATCATCATAGGAAAAATAAAGTAAAAAGCAGAGAAGAACCACAACAAATTCATTATAAATATTATACTTAACGAAATATAAAGAAAAAAAATCTAAATAAATATATGGAGGTAAAACATCAAACAATATTCTTTATAAACCAAATTAAATTAACTAACTTATCAACACAATAATTTTCTTCCTAAAAACATAAAAAAAATTTAAAATATATATTGTTTCAAATTTTATTATTATTAAATTTGTAAAAATTTAGTTGGACACCTTACTTTCTCTACACTCCTCTCCACAGAAGTAAAGATAATATTTCTCCCTATAATTATTGCACCACAGAGAATTAATCAGATTCATAGCTTCTTGAGCAGTGGCAAAATATGTCCTCTTCAAGTTTTCTAGAATTCAGTTCATAGACTAAATTAGAAGAATTTAAAATTTATTTTATAACGTGTGTTATATAATTTTAATTTTAATAATTATAAAATTAAATATAAAAAATAATAAAAACAAATAAAATGTATTGAGGAGGAAAGTTCAAATATTTTTTTATATTATTTTTTTAATATATGTAGTTCTATTCCAATTTTAAAACATAGAACTTATTGTTTCTATTAAACTCGTACATATTACATTATTTATGAAGGAAAAAAGAAAGTAAAATACAAATTTATTACTTTTACTTGTGTCTCACTTATTATTTATATATTTTTAAAGTAACACTTTATTACCCCATTTGACAATAAAATATTAATTTTTATAATATATTATTTATGGTACATGAGTTTTTATAGTATATTTTTATGGTACATGAGTTTTTTTTCATGGAAAAATTTTAAATAATATTGTTTGAAATATAAGAATTTAAATTAAATATTACTATCTTTTCAAGTTGTTACCATCATTAGTTTAAGTGGTCTTATACTTTAGTATACAAATTCGTTTGGTTTAATCCTTTTGGCCTATTTGTGTAGGGTTGTCTCAAATAGGTCTCGTATTTATTTTTATCTCAATTAGGTCATTGTTTTTGCAAAATTGAGTCAATTGAAACCTTACCGTTAATTTCAATGGACGGCGTTAAATTTATTGAGTTGTGACATGCTAACGAAGCAAATTTTAATGACGTGTTACGTGGTTGTGTAATTTATTTTATTTCAAGTTTTAAATAATTAAACCTAATTTATATTATGACTTCTAACAAAATAATTAAACCTAATATCCATCGCCACACACCTTCAGAACCTTGTTCAGCATCCCGTCACGCACGTTGTGTCCTCCACCAGCTTCAGCACCTTCTCCACTGCCGCTGCTCTCAGCTTTGCCTCCGCTAACAACCTCGCGTGAAACCACCATCTTCTACAGTGGTCCACGCAGAACTCCCTCCCCGAGCCTCTACACGCCATTCTCCTCCACAGTAAGCACCACAACATCATCCACGCCTAGCAACGAGGCATCTCATCGATCAGGGGAGTCGTGAGCTTCACTGCCCTTGGGTTCTTGAAATTCGTGATGCAAAAAAGTTGGTTCACCTCGGTGATGCAAACCAAGTCGTTCCCCAAAACGCACAATCTGCAACGTTGTCCTCGAAGCACTCTTTTCCTAGAGAGAGGTTAGGTCGCCAGAAGAAGAGAAGAGAAGAGGCGGCCATTGGAGGAAGAGAAGAGGTGAAGCTTGCGGAGGGCAGACTCGGCGTGTAGTTGGACGATCTTGGAGTCGTCACGGATGACGGCGACCGGGCCGCCGAAGGGCGCAACGACGACCTTGGTGCGAGCGAGGTCTACGTGCTTCCATGGCATAGGGTAAAGCTCGGGCTTGCGGTAGTAGTGGTTGTAGAGGAACTGTCACTCTGCAGCGACAGAGACATTGGCCATTGAAGGGGTGGGAAAAAGAGGGCAATGCAATTGATAGGGTTAGGGTTTGGAATTGAATCAGAGATTGAACATTGATCGATCGCGGAAGAGATTAAGGGAATTGGGAAGAGGAAAGTCGTATACTTTCTTCCTAATTTCTTAGTTGTGTTAAAAATGTGTAGTGGGACATGAGATGTGTGTACTTTGTTCCTAATTTCTTGAACGCTTGTCCCCAAGTTCCACTTGGCCTCCAAAGGCGTCTTGAAAGGTGTATTCTTTTAGCTCGGGGGTACTGTAATTCTAGTTTTCTCTATCTGGGTGAGCTTCTCAGTTCTTTGGGATGCACTTTCCAAGGTAACCGGATTACCCAGTAGGAAGAGGATTTACTGTTTATGATTTGAAGATTCTGGAATATATAAACCTCTTATGTTCTATTGGATGTACGAAACTGAGGCACTGGTTGCTGATTGACATAAAAGATAAAATACTTTTTGAATGATCTGCGTGAAATCACTACAAGTTCAAAAACCCTAACAGGAAGAAGATACCAAGGAAGAAGACAATGCTTTAAATTTCACCTAATGCATAATTAAATTCCACCTAATACAATCTCAGTGTGCCACATCATTAAAATTTACTTCGCCAGCATACCACGACTCAGTAAATTTAACGTCGTCCATTGTAATTAACGGTAAAGTTCCAATTGACTCAATTTTACAGAAACAGGAATATGAAAACCTATTTGAGACAACCCTACACAAAGAGGAATGTCTGAAAGGATTAAACCAATTCTTTTTAAGAACATAAAATCAAATCTTAATTGTTACATATCTCTTTATAATCAGTTTTAAGCATGACTAATTTATTAATTTACTTGTGTTATTTGTTTTTACAGTTACAATTATATTAATTTATGTATTATTTTTGTTTTATTAGTAAGAATAATAATATAATATTATTTTAAATATCCAAAATTATTAGTAAAAATCCGCATGCGCCACCCCCATGACAATAATACACATCTATTTGTGTAACCAGAGTTTTGCCACCCCATGACAATAATACACATCTATTTGTGTAACCAGAGTTTTGCAACTACACGATTCTGCTTCTGCATCGAACATATCTTCAAATTACATCCAACATTGCAACATGGTTCTGAAAAGAGATATAAGATGCATGCATCTACTCGCTCTCCTCATCGCTATTGACTATACTCAAATGATTCATGTTCTTTTCAAGAGGTGGAAGCCCATCTTCAGAATCAGAAGAGTTCTGACTTTTATCCTCACCTTCTAGTGTCGCAACTGTGCACGTAACAGCACAAATATACAAAACAAAATTAGGATGAAATTCCCAAATAACATATTTAAGGTATCTACACATAATTCTTTTCTTTCGTGACAGTAAAATAACAGCTCCTAAGAACTTTCTTTAAGAGCATTAAAAGCACATTCAAGGGTTCATGTACCACTTTTCAAGAACCAGTATAAAAATCACTCGCAAATGACGAATAGCTTTCTGCTCAATCTGCCTTTAAAAAGTTGGTGTAATGCAATGCACAGGCAGAACAAATTCAGAAAAAATAAATTTATTGCATTTAGATCAACATAGCCAGAATCAAGAAATACCTTCTATGCAGAACATACAGAAACTAGAGAGTATGTTCAAACACATAGGTGTAAAAAGCTAAATAAAACTACCAAAAGGAAGAGGAAAAGGAGTAACCCAGTGCCAAGGCTTCGTGATGGAATCCAGGGTTATCCCCTCAACCACGGAAGGTGTTTCCAAAAAGGCAAACCAGGTCACAAGCCAGTAACCTTACTATTGCACCAAAGCAGCAAACATGTAGAAGATAGAATAGCCAGAAAAACAAAAATATTAATATTGAAGTTGAGCCCCAATGAGAGACACCCAATTGCTGCACAAGGCTCCTGTTATGATATGGTATGGAGAATTACATGTATACAGCCTTATCTCCATTCAGTGGAGAAAATGTTTCCACTTGCCCCCATGACCTTGACAAGGTCATCAGGCAGCAAGAATACTGTGCATCAAGGTTTACTCTCTCTCGAAGATTACTTAGTTATGGACACCATTTTGCAAAAAAGATTACATTTACAACCAATACATACCTTGACCATCAGTAGGAGCTCTTGGAACTTGTCTCTCTTGTGACAGCCAAGCATTTTGAACAGAAATAATTTCAGCACTATTTTGGCATTTGGAGTAGGCCCTCAGTAATTCCTTGCATTAATTTGCATAAAATTGTCAAAGCAGAAGAGTCTATGAAAAAACGTGCAATTGAGAAATTAGTCGATTGCGTTAGTAATGTACGTAGAAATAAAACAATTAGATTGAATTTGTATTTCCTTACAACAATAAGAATGAATTTGTATTTCCTTACAAATCCTTGAATTCACCGTAGCATTATCTACAACTAGATGAATTGAATTGTGTTAGTACACACTTGATCTCCTAATTATAGCCTGAATACAATCAATCATAAGAAAAAACTAAAGGACTAATTAGAGCCAATTTAGAAGCTAATGGCATGCTAGATTGCAGCCTAATAATCATGCTAGATTGGATATGTGCTTGGCCAATGATGTTAGATTGAATCGGCACCATGTCAAGCTTATGGTTGATCCCACATCAAGTCTATTAGATCCATCTCACATAGGATTTAATCTAACTGACAAAGTTGATTTAATTTAGATTTAATCCAATTTAAATTGAATTGAAAAAAATCCAAATCAAGTTGATCTAATTAAAATGGATCTCAATAATAAATCCAATTTATTTATTGGTTCTGATTGGGATTTTGAAAAATCCAATCCATGATCACTCTTAAAATTGACAATTGATGCAAATCAGAAAACCCCCTTTTTCATATCCTCCCTATTTATGCTTAAATTAACCCCTCTAACTAACTGCTGTAAGAGTTGTGAGCTAAACTTCCCTTCTCTCCAAACTCTTAACAAGTACCTAGTTATTTACACATGCCTAATCAATTCTAGCATTTTACATTGTTGAAAGAATTGACAACACAGATATCCCAAATTAATATTTAAAAAAAAATTGTCCATGGTTACGTACAAAGACAGGTTTTACAGCAGTATTCATTCGCAAGTCATGCATACTTAAGTGATACACTCAACTGAAAGGATCTAATAAACATCAGAAAGGACAAAAAGATAACATTGTATATTAAGTTCTTTTTTTATAATCATAAATTCCAAGAGGGGCTCAGAGTGCCCGGTTACTTTGTTCATTTAACAGGCAGGGATAAATAAGTACCATGCCAATGTTTCAACTTGAGCAGTCAAATGTATCAGAAGTGATAAAAATATGAATAACAAAGTTATATCAACGAATTAGATCATATTCATACCCATTCAGAGACATAAAAGCATGACCCCATTTGAACTTCCCGAGCAATAAATTTGCTGTCTTTTCTTCCCCACTGCAAAACCACAGTAAAGAACTTCAACCGTATAGAATAGCGAAATGGATAATCTTCAATAGTAAATATTAATTCAAATTAAAATAAACTATAATGCAAGTTACATTTTTTTATCCGCAAACTTCAAAGTTCAGACCTAAATCTTTTATCTGAATGTTCATAATTTTACAAGTAGTGAAACAGTTGGGATAGAATGATCCCCGCACGTTTCTACAATGATAGTCTAGTATGGTAGCAAATTAGCCCTTCCTAAGACCAAACTATTCAGTTACACTTTTTGGTTAGGGGGAAGGGGGAGTGGAGTGAACAAATTATAGAGCACATCAGCAAAAAGAAAAAAAATATCATCTAGTCAGAAGCCAGAGACAAAGCCATTGTGGTACCATATTGTCAAAGCAGCAGATAAGGCCTCCACACAGGATAGTTGGCATGGACGACCATAATTTACTGGATTTGCTGCTACAAGCCATGGCACTGAAATTGAATGAAAATATGAGAGTATTATTACATTCCATGTCAATCAATATAGTCAACCTTAAACATGACAAAAAAGCTTAAATACAATGCCACTATAGAAGGAATATTTAAGCATCACAGTTAACTACAATAGTACCCGAGTCTAGCATGGATATTTTCATTCACAAGGTGTATACACAAATATACATGTAACATGAAGTATAGAAAACAAATTTTGAATATATTCCTTTTGGCAGTTAAGTCCTTACAGAGGCGAGGAGCAGCACACCGTAGCCTAACAAAAGGCACATCATCTAAACGGGCCCATGAACAATCCACAACAGCCAAACCTTTCGTCTGGATTATAGAGTAATCTTCTCTTGAGACACATTGATTTCCAGCAGGACTGTCAAAAACAGAATCACAGTAAATCAGTAATCACAAATCAGAGAACACAGGAACTAGCAATATATATCACTACTAAACAGTCAAAAGAGAATGCATTGGCTTAGAAGTTGGACACCATAAAGCCAACTTCATCTTTTTGAGAAATTTTTGCTTTTTGAAGAATTGTTTCCTTTAAAAACGCTTCAATAATAGTATTATATAGAAACAACTTTAAGTGAACTTATTTGATTTCTTCCTCTTATGCTTTCTATTTGTTAGGTCCTCTTTAGAAGAAAACTTTTGCCTCTGCTGTCATTTAGTCTTATACTGTGGTTAAACACCTAAGAAACATCAAATATGTGCCTTTCAAACTAAAAAGTAGCTTTGTCAATTTCATAGCATGTTGAACATGTTCTTATTGTTAAACAACACTAATTAACCTCCTCTGCCAATCAAAGCCAAAATAAGTTACTTCTTTTCTTATGAAAGTGGACTTTAAGTCTAATTCAACCTAACAAAAATGACTTAATAAGGTGAATCCAATGATGGACGGCACGAAAGCCACAACACATCCCTCTAGGATAGACTACAATATCCTCTTAGAAACCAAATTCAACCTAAGAAAACCAATTTAGTAAGGTAAGATTTACATCCCACTTATGTATTATAATTTAATCATATAACCAATCGATGTGAGATTTCTCACACACTCTCTCAAGCCGAGTATTAGCTATCTTAGGCGTGAGACTAGATATTTGTAAATAGTCTTATAGCAGCCCAATAGTAGGTAAGATGGTAAGCCCAACAAATCTCGCTAAAATATGCTTTGATACCATCTTATAAAGTGAATGTTAAGTCTAAATCAACTACACAAAATCAATTTAATAAAGTAAGTTTGCACTGTTTGCACTCAATTTATATATTATAATTTGGCTATATTACTAAACTATGTAGGATCTCCAACACACTACCTCATGTCGAGACATCAAGTTGGGAATAGAATGGGGTGTTCATAAACCTTGCTAGGATAGGTCCTTCATAAACTCTAGGATAGTTAAGCCTAACTCAATCTCATAAAATCATCTTCGATAGTTAAGGCTTACACCCTACTTACATATTATAATTTAACCATACCACTAGTCCATGTGTGATCTCCAACAATTTTCAATTATTGAAAGCAACCATCCATTGTTTCAAAAATGCACAATATCTAAAAGCTCAACCAACCTGATTAGATAGCAACAATTTTAACAAAATAAAATATATTGCCAAAAGGAGACAGGTTAACACCTGCACAACACAACTAATAAAGGTAGAAGCCGATAACATTTTCTACACCTCTAGTCAGTGGCCAAACTGCTAGTTGACAAACATCATGAACTTGTTGACATGTTACATAAAGATAAACCACATTCTAGCAAAAGTATCATTCTTCATGATATGGTGAGAAAAAGATAAGTTCCAACAAGATACCTTAAAACAACGCCTCCAAAACCATTACTCACTCGTAACTCCTGTACAAAGTCAACTAAAATCAGTACTGCTAACATATTGAGCATCTTTAGATCATGCAAATGACCTTCATAGAATATTGAATCAACAATAACAAGGAACTATTTGTGAATTACTTCTGCTAACACACCCCTAATGATAATGTATACTAAATTTAAGATCATTTAGACATCCATAAATATTCAATCAAATAGTAAAGATTTACTTATATTTTAATAATATATCATGCAATAAAACAACAATAAAAATATGAAATAGATTTTGAATTGTATGAAATTTTTGACAAAATTTTAATATACTTTATTAGAACTCAAATCCAATAGTTAAAGTGATAAAATTTACTGTTTATTCTCAATGTCAAACAGCTGGCCTATTTCCACTATATTTATATGATTGAACCATGAGCAATGGAACCAACAACAAATTGGACAAAACGAGCTGCATGGATACCCACTACTGTAGCAAACAGCAGTTACAATCTCAATGGCAGAATAAATATTAGGGTAATTAGCAACATGCACAGAGGGACATGGTAGTTTCCTCATCCAACTTAGTATTATATGATATATGTATAAATAATTAAACGGTAAACCAAATTTATATAATGTCACTCGTTGTTCCCCAATAAATCATAATGAATACCAGGCTATTTGTCCCTAATCAGCAGAGATTATCATATTTCGGTAAACCAATATGTCAACTGAGTACCTCAATTAAAGTGCTTGTGAAATCACAAAAACTCTAGATCTCTACTGATTCATTTATTTAAGCAAAAAGCCTTCAAGCTGTATTCCCATCCAAAAGATCTTCCCAGTTAAAAAAAAAATCAGAATTCGTAAAGAATAGTTCATTTTACTGACATTGTTTTCTCATAAATGCCTCTTCATATTTCAATCATGGTATGTTCTTCCCCTTTATATAATTTTGATGTGTTCAAGAATCTCTTGCACAATATTCCATTTGAATTTTCAGGTATACCAAGATATCTAATATAATCTTCCAAAATTATGCAACTTCCACCAATGACTTAGTTGTTACCCTAGCATTGAAAATCAACACCACTCTGCATTTTGATTTGAGAACTGACCTTTTATAAAGTGCTATTTATTTTATATGAAAGAAGTAACCACTCTAATTGACAATGAAATCTAACATTCAATTAAATCAGATACAAGATCCAGGTAGATATACTTGGACATGTATATAATCATGTTTGTGCTTATAAATGCAAATATGTATGAACAGAGTACACTTAATCATGTGATAAATGCTAATCACATAACGAACAAAAAAAGATAACAGATACTTGCCTTTAGCATGCCAAATCTTGAAAGCTTGCGACCAGTGCACCTTTTGGCATCGCATTGCCCAAAATCCTGAGTCACAAAAAACCAATTATATTCAAAATTCAAAGACGTATTACATGGCGTATGAATATAAGATTAGAATGCAGTAACGACATATATAGTAGTATAGCAATACTAAACAAAATTGAAGGAACATTACCAAAATAATTTCTAGCGTTCAAAACTGAGGGTGGACAGAAATCAATCAAAATATTTCTAAATTTATTTCAAATGTCAACTTATTAGTTATCATAAAATGTAAGCATAAAACCATCAGTGTAACAGTATCACCCTGGAATGCGAACTAAGCCAATGCCATCCTTCAAACAATCATTAATGTATATTTGTGTTTACAAAGAAAAAAAAAGAAAAAAAATAATATATATATATATATATATATATATATATATATATATATATATGTATATATATATTTAGCACAATAAAAACCATGCAGTAGCCATTGTTCTTTTTCTTACCTAGAAAAATAAACAAATAATTAAAAGCTAATAATCTCAGCTAAATTAAAATTACTAAAACGGTTATATGCATACCCACATTGCAAGCTTTATTTTGGGTTCCGTGAGTTCCTCCTCCTCTTCCTCACCCTCACCATTTTCAACTGTTACAGAAAATATCACGCAGCGAACACAAACCATGCTATGTTTAGAAGAAGAAAAAATGGAATCGAGAAGTACCTGGAAAAGAGCTTTGACAATCGTCCTCTCTGAAGCAGAGTTAGGTGAATGAATAAGCAAAAGGCGCGTAAATAGGAATCAAAAAAAAGAATCACAAGCAATGGGAAAGAACTTACACTAAGAGCTGTTGGTGTCGACTTGATTGACCGCGATGAGTTTTGAATCTCCTTTGTCTGTTATTCCCCATTTCTGCTGAAGAACGCAAACCAGAAATTTGTCACACGCAGTGTATTTTGCTCGTGACACTGATGGCTGATCTTGATTTGGTGTTTAGGTTAATGTATGTTCTTGTTTTGGATGCAAGTTTGGTGCTCTCAAACAAATTCATCACTTTAGGGTGAAAATTATCAATATTGGTGAATATATAATGAAGAGTAAAATTTGTTAAATTCATGATTTACAGGGATCGTGTGTGACATTAAATATTGATATTTTTATTTATGATTGAAAATTTGTATTATTTCTGTAAATAAATAATTCATTTGAAAATAGTTTAATATTTAAAATACATGCGTAATGTAAAAGCACTGTTATCTATTCAAATATGTGTGTAAACTATGGTTTTTGTTTTCTAAAATCATGGGACATTATGATAATAGCTATTTTTGTGATTATAAAATAGATAAATAAATCTATTAAATGGAATTATACCAATGAAATTAGTTCATATTCAAATTATTCATATATAATTATATATATAAAGCTGATAAACTTTTGTATATTTTTTTATTATTTTATTCTCTTAATTATTATTTTTTCAATTTAAATAATTATTTATAATAAAAACTTATTTTTTAGTTTTATAAATTAATAACTATTTTTTGAATTTAAATAATTATTCATTATAAAAAATTATTTATTCTCATTTTGTAACATTTTTTTCAAATTTAAATAATTACTCATAATAAAAAAGTTATTTACACAATATTATATATAATTTTTTATTTCAATAATTAAAATTTATGTTATCTATAATTATATATACTTTTTATTTTTTAAATTTACTTTTTTAATTATTACTTTTAAATATAAACCGGTTGAGAAGTATAATTCAATTTAAGATATGTATTCATTGTTATTTTTCTAATGGGAAGGATTGGTATGGAAATGACTCGTAATTTTTAGGATTAATAACAAAGCATTATATTTAAGAAAAATTATTATTTTTGGATTATATTATCAGTTTCTTGAATCTTTATCTTTTATGTTTGTTAATGTTAGTTTTATATTAAAGGTATTGACATATTTGCAAAGAAAAAATGTTGAAGAAAATGAAGACACGTGTGAGCCCCTCTTCAAACTTATTGATACTAGGCAATATGCATCTTGAGAGAAATATAAGATCTATAATTAATTTGCATTTCTTAAAATAGTTCTTTAAAATTTTGAAAAACTTAATTCTCAGTCACTATATCTGAAGTCGTTTTTAAGTTTTCAAAAATCCTATCACATGTCTATTTTTAATACACATTTTGAAAAGAAAAAAGAAAAGTATATATTTAATTCTTAAACTATACGTAACTAGTGAGTATACTTAAACATTATATTTGACGAAAATAAAAATATAAAAAATGAAGATATCATAATGTTCATGACAATCATAATTCTGTATCTCTTTCGATACCACGTCTATAAATATGAAAATATTTTATCTAATTTTTATGACCTTTTAAATGACCCTCATTAACAATGATATATGCATGTGATCATTAACACCCCTTCTATGAATGATAGTAATGTTTCTTATACTACTACTGGTCACATTATTGATGACTTTGTTCTAGCTATGGATGCTTCTAATGATACTTTCAATGAACTACGACTCTTCATATGACAATGTAAAGTTGTAGTCTATCTTCAAGATTTTCACACCAACAACGTTACTTGACATTTTATTAATAGGGGTGGGCATAGTTCATCAACCTGAACTTAAAATACAGTTAACTGTATTATTTTATATTTAAAAAAGCTGAACTGTTTTTACTAAAAACTAATTCAATTATTTTATAGTTCAGGTTAAAAGAACTGAAACTTAAAGCAGCTAACTGAAACTTAAGGCAGTTAACAAGTTAACACATGAGTTTTTTTATCCTTTCTCCATCAGAATCTCTTTTTTTATCACTACGGCTCAGATTTTTGCCAAGGTCCGCTGCCCTCTTCCTTCCTGCCGTTGCCCATCCCGCCGTCGCCCATTCTGTCGTCGCTCATTCTGTCGTCGCCCATCTCGCCGTCGTTCATCCCTCCTCCCATCTTCCTCAATTAGCCCTCTAGGGTTTCCTCATCAACTCTCTTTTTGCTGCAGCGTCAATGACTCCTCCAGGTCTTTCTCCTGTTATTAACAAATTCATAATCTTTATGTTTACTGATTTTTTTCTTCTCGTGGGAGGAGCGTCCTCCCTTTTTCAAATTCAAGATGGGTGTTCCTTCCCCTGCTCGACAAGCCTTCAAGCTTTCCATTCTTGCTTCCACTTTTAATATCTTCTTCTCTTTGACTCATCATTTACATTGGGTTAGATGTTTGTTTTTGTGTGTGTAGTTTAGGTGTTGCTTGGAAAAAGTTCATTCATGTATTATTTATTTTTTTGAATGACCTCTAAATGCATTAGTGGTCTATTTTTATCCAACAATTGTTCTGGTAAGGAACAAGCTCACTCTTCACCCTGTAATTATGTAATACTAAACACGAACTTGGTCATTTTTTCCTATGCCAGGAAAAAAAATGAGTATAGAGGAAAAGCCTGTGAATGAGGAAAATGAAGCAGGTTCTTATAGACGAACAGTTTCTCTTCCAGTTTAAAAGGTATCACTTTTGGTTATTCGTTTTCCAGTTCTTATAGGGTCTGGTTTATTTCAAGGATTAGTCACTAATTCAAGGATATATCATACGCATATATTTTATAATACTCAGAGCTTAATTTGTCTGAATTTTTTTCATAAACTGTATCCCTGGGATTTGTCTGAATTCAAGGATATTGCCTTTTGTTGCACTCTTCTCTAACTGGTTCCTTTCGCGGATTGTTTATGACGTGACAGATGAAGATAACTTCAATAATGTGAAGCAGTGGCTCAGTGAAACTGATTGCTATGCCAGTGATAATGTTTACAAATTTTTAGTTGAAAACAAGAGTGATCTGACAGCAAATAGAGTTGTATCGTATGACACAGCTAAAGTAAAACCTTGACATACATGTTTAAATCTCAGAGTTATCGATTTTACTTTTGAATTGTGTATTCAATAACTCTACATTTTCAATTTAGTTCTTACAAGTTCTTTGATTTTTCAAAAGCTGTGAGAAGCTTCCCAGTCCCGTGGGACAAACATTTATAAACTGCAACAATATTTTTTAGTTTTGGAAGAAAGTGGAACTAATTTACTGCACTGATTTATAAGTAAACTAAAAATTAGTTTACTGAACTGTACTATAAGTAAACTTAATACTAGTTCAGTTCAGTTCGCCTGAACTATTTTTTAGTTCAGTTCAAGCAAACTATTTTGTAGTTAACTACAAATTTTTATAGTATAGTGCAGTGCAGTATACTTTGCCCACCCCTACTTATTAACAATTATTTGTGTTATGAATGTTTATTTTCTCATTTTAAACATGTTGTGTTATCCATTTCCTTTGTTGTTAAACCTAAAACTTACACAGAAACTTCAAAAGATCCTAAGTAGGTTGATGCTATGAAGATGAATTTGCAGCCTTAGGTAATAGCAACACTTGTGTGCTTACCGATATCCCTCCTCAAACCGTTGTTGGCTGTCGATGAGTATATAAAATCAAATTTGATTCTAATGCCATTGTCGACCACTACAAAGCACATCTTGTTGTCAAAGGATAAAACCAACTCGAAGGCTTAGACTATCTTTATACCTTTGCTCTAGTGGCTAAGCTTACCATTATTTGTCTTATTCTTGCCTTTGCTGCCTACCAAGACTATATTTTAACAACTCAATATAAACAATGTCTTCTTACATGGTAATCTTAATGAAGAGGTTTATATGAAACTCTCGTCTGGCCTACGTGTTTCACATCTTAATCAAGTTTGCAAGTTTTAATGTTTGCTCTATGGCTTTGAGAAAGTTGAACCCCAATGGTATGCTAAATTATATCATTTTTTGATTTATAATCATTATACTTGTTCTTTCGCTGACCATTCTCTATTTTTGCACAATTCTTGAACACATACCATTACTCAATTGTGCTAACATGTAAGCATGTTGAGGAAACTGAATGCATCACTCACTTTCTTCACTCTCATTTTCAAATAAAAAATCTTGGTGACCTTACATACTTTCTTGGTCTCGATGTTGCTCATAATTATGTTGGTCTGCATCTTAATCAACTTAAGTACGTTATCAATCTTCTTCATGAAGTCAATATGCTTACCTGTTCTCCAGCACCTACACCTATGGTTCCCAAGTGTTCTTCATCTGTGATTGACTAACCACTCGATGATGATGTTTCCTCTTTCTATAGATGCCTCATCTACCTCATCATCACTCGTCCTAACATAATGTTAGTTGTGAATCACCTTAGTTGTATATATATGACAACTTCTTTTTGGCAACTCTCGATTTACTTTTATCAATAAAAAATAGTAGTTCTATTCTTTTCTCCTTTGCTCATGCTGGATTTTCTCCCTTATATCTTATTTCTTTCTTCCCTTTTGTTTTCTAAAGATACATGCTCTACCTTTACTTATCATGAAAATGAATTATGTTAAGACTATTAAGAAGTAAACTTTAAGCCTAACGAACCTCACAAAATTGGCTTGTAAGGAAAGATTTGCACCCACTTATATATTCAAAATTGGTTTTTATCCTTAATCGATGTGAGACTTTCAACACTTCCGTCGAGGTATATACATCTCGAGCGTGAAACTTGATATTAATTGGTGGTCCGATAACAAGTGAAACAATATGTCCAACAAACAACAAATTTCGTTAGGATATGCTCTAACAATGGTTTTAATACCATGTTAAGAAGTAGACTTTAAGCCTAACTCAACCTTACAAAATTGATTTGTAAGGTGAAATTTTCACTTATTTATATACTCTAAATTGACCTTACCTCTACTCGATGCGAAACTTCTAACACACTTATTCACGTTGATGTATATACATCTTCAGCGTGTGAGTAAACATTAATAGGTAGTCCAATAGCGACTCGATAGCAAATGAAACAATAAACCCAACAAACATCAATTTTCGATATGCTAGACTCTAACCCATGATTCTAATACCATGTATTGTTTTCACTTAACTTCTTTATACACAATTTTATTCTTATTTGCTTGCTTTTTCAAATACAAACATTAATTATGCTTTCAAATTAAGTTC